ATGACGATGACGATGACTATGACTATGACTATGACTATGACTATGACTATGACTATGACTATGACTATGACTATGATTATGACTATGACTATGCCTATGACTATGATGACTATGACTATGACTATGACTATGACTATGACTATGACTATGACTATGACTGTGACTGTGACTATGACTATGACTATGACTACAACTACAACTACAACTACGACTACGACTACGACTACGACTACGACTACGACTACGACGTCGTCGACGACGACAGTACTACGACTACGACTACGACTACGACTACGACTACGACCACGACTACGTCTACGACGACGACGACGACGACGACTACTACTACTACGACGACGAGGACGACTACGACTACGCCTACGAATACGACTACGACGACGACGAAGACGACGACGACGACGACGACGACGCCTACTACTACCACCACCACCACCACCCCCGCCACCACCACAACCACTAGCACTACCACTACCACCACGACTACGACTACGACTCTCTCTCTCTCGATGCGCAAACATCCGACGACGTCTTTGCGTAGCCCCTTTGGGCGACCTAGGAGGCCGGCTATCTCTGTGGACAGCTAAACCAGGGCAGCGAGCGATATGCGCCAAAGCTTTAAGCTGCAGCAACATTCATTAACATTGGTAGCGGAGACTCACCCGGACCGTTAGTCCCCTTGAGCAGTGAGCTCCTGCGACTGTACAGCGACGAAACGGTATGTATACCGGACGTTTCGCAACTACCAGCATCATTCAGGTGGCCCGATAGGCCCATTTCAGGAAGTAAGAACATCTCAGACACTTCATTCACTCACGGCATGCTTCCATCTCTGCGCTTCGCAGTAGCAGCATCTTGGCATAGCTGCTCACCACGATCAGAGAAGCACAGCCATTCTGTAGCTTTCACGAACTTGTAAATGAAAATCCACACAGACATATATGCACTGCGGCCCACTTTCAGCAGAGTGACGGCTTCACAGGGGCTGCATCAGTTACGCATTCGCAGCACAGCTCGAAGATGCACTTTTCCACATTGCATAAGCAGCTCCAACCCCGCAGTGCCGCGATTTGCAGTAATATCTACAGCTGATAAGGATCCGGGACAGCTCGGTCCAAGCAGCTCAGCTTGAAGCCCTGCGATTGCAAAAACTGCATGTCCTCGTCCCTCAATCTCCACTCATCTCTGATGTGATATGATCCGAGCAAGAATCTTTCTCCTGTCCAAGGTAGGACAGCATGACGTAGGCGGGAGTTGAAGCGTAGGCACGGCATTGTAATTGGCGAGATCACGCCTCGCGGTCCATCCACCTGAAGCTGAGCATCGCCTGTAATGCTTTCATGCCATAATTCACCGCCCTGCCACAAGCTGAGTGGTATCAAAGTGTTGTCTATCATCTGGTGGTTGTGGGAGTCCACATGTACTCCACTTGCCACATTTAGATGCAGGAAAACACTTGTAAAGAGGGTTTCGGGACTTAGGGACCGAAGAAAGGTGCAAAGGAGGCGCGACGTCCACAGTAGATCCTTAGTTTCAGTGTGAACTGATGCAATACCTCCGTGAACACAGGCTCCGAGGGTGATGGACCGGGGCTCCAAAATGTGCGGTGCTGCATGTTCCGAAATATTTCTTGTATGCTGCACAGTGGGGAGCAGGTCAAATAAGCGTCGAAGCTGTGAAAAGTACACCCATCTTCCTCGCAGGCATTCCTGTGCCAGGGCCTCATAGTTGTTTTGAGGCTGCGGTAGGTCCCAATCCCAGTCCCTTACCGAGGCCAGCGAAAAACCTGCATCCGGCTTAGCAGTGTACAGGCTCAGAGCATTCTCAGCCGAAAGCTGCTGTGTCATGGCGCTCACCGATCTGGATTGGGCTTGCTGCGCTGGGCGCAAAAAGTGCGCGAGGTTACGACCAGTGACCTGAGTAGTCGATCTCCGTCGGGGTCGCTTGGATGCCCGACTTTCTTCAGCCTCCACTTGGTCTGTGACTCCTTCTTCGCCATCTTGGATAGCGCCGGCCCTTTGCCCCTCATCCGGGACATCAATTGTTGCCCCGGAGCCCATGGAGGGCATAAGTCGCTGATTCCACATGTGGGGTGAGCCTATGACGAGTTGCAGCTTCCAGATGTACGTGGCTGCATGAACCAACATTTCGACAGGCATCCTGAACTTGCAATTAGACTGCATCCTCCACCACTGGCCAAAGTCACATAGAAGAACAGAACTACCGATGCAGTTTCAGCAATATTGGCGCATTGAACGAGAGACGGCAGCTCGAATCGGATGGAAGTCTCTTGAAGGGGAGGATGACACCTTAGTGTGACACTCGGCTTAGTGAAAGAACAGACTGTATATTGCGTAGCGCGCAGTGAGCATTCTGCAGTGACTGCAATCTTTGTTGATGCACGGAAGCACACGTTGTCGTCAGACCGTGGGGATATTGCAGGCGAGGGCTGCAGCGCCGCCATGCAAGGCTGTGAAAGCAGCCACCACATTCACAGGCTTTTATCCACAAGATTTGTTGCCCCGATAGGGCCTTGTTGCATGAAGAGAATGGAAAAACTCCTTTTCCAAGTCCACTCTCTCAATCTTCAAGCATTCAAACATCCAAAATCATGGCCCATGGCTGTTCAGCTTCGGCAGCTTTAGCGGCGTCTTTGGCCTCCGTTTCCGTAGCCATTACCGCCTCCATTTCCTCCTCCTCCTGCCTTCTGGACCATGTTGGCCACATTGGATCGTCCTCCGCGCTCTGGACGCCAGCTCAGCGCCATCAACTGGGTGATGGAGCAGTTCGTCAAGGTCGCCATGTGCTCCTTGAGCTGTGTGGCCTCCTCCCCGTACAACGCCAGCTGCATACTGAACGTAACATTGGAGCCCTTCATCTCCTCCTCGATGCTCCTGCTGGGGTGGAATCGGGTCACCGGCCCGGTCTTACGCACCAAAGCCAGAATGGCTTCCACCGTAGCGATGCCCTGCTCGTAACCGAGCGCTTCCCGGGCAGTGTCATGGCGAAGCCTCTCCACCTTAGGATCCCACTTCAAGTAGTTCCACTTCAGAGGTTCCGTGGAGATCCATCCCAGCTTGGCCATCGTCTCCTGGGTCTTTTCCTGCTCGTCAGGCGGGCCGAAAACTCTCGGAACAGGCAGGTGAGCAGGCTCACTCTCATAGGCTCTACGGAATCTGGGTCCGATTCCTTCCGTTCCCGCCATGCCTGCTGAGCCTTGAAAAGCGCTGGCACCACCGATGCCGGGACCCCCGTGCGCAGAAAGAGCGCATAGGACGTCTCTGGTCTCAGAGCTCCTAGATAGTCCTCGTGTCTGAGTGCCAGCCTCTGCAGTTGGAACATACTGCTTCGGAGGTCCTTGATTTCCTCAAGAAGCTCAGACCGTCCTCGTCGATCCTGGCCTTCTCCTCCTCTGTTGCCCCAGGCATCAGATTGTCCCCAGCCGTCGTTGTAGGCTCGCTTTGAGCGTCCCCAATTGGACCACGGATCCTCCTCCTTCTGGGAGCCCTTGCCTCGTTGCTGCCCCTTCTGTCCAGCAGAAAGCTTGGCCGTTTGGGATCACGACCGCCTTCGCCCTCCGTCCCAGTCGTGGATGGCGGTGCCGTGCTTTGGCCATCCAAGTTTACTCCAGCTGGAAAGTAATTCCGGAACATGCTTTCCTCGATCTGTGAGGCCTTGTCCTCGTCCATGTCGGTGTGGAAAATCTCCAAAGGAGCAGAGGAGGGCTGAGGAGGTGCTTCAGAGCTCAGCATCGCTTCAGCCATTGAATGTACACGCTCGATTCCAACATCCGGCTCATGCTGACGGTGGTAGCAGGGACTGAATCATCTGTGTACATCCAATGGTCATTCACTTTGAGGAGCGCACGATAGTGTCCGCTGTGGGTTTGCCTGCCAAGATGTATGATTGCTGAAGTGACAACATATTGGTCCCACGCAAGCTGTAGATTTTGCGTAAATCTGGGCACATAGACCGGCCTGTCGAATCGTACCGGTGTAGTGAGTTTTGTGGTCTGATCCAGCCTCAGGTATCTGTTGAGCTGAATACATATGCACCTGCTTTCGTGTGCCAAGGCATGTGAGTCCCCATAGGTGCTCCAGTGTGTAATCACATCCTGTAGCTCCCGCGCCTGAGGAGGTAGCGGCATTGGAATGGGGAGATCGCCTTGAGCTCGAAGTTGCAATCCTGCCAGACCAAACTTACGAGCATCCCATTGTACTGAGTGCAACTGCTGTGCCTGCAAGAGCTGTTGTAAATACTCTGCCGCATCCTTCTGCACCTCATCATAAACCCATGTAGGCACTAGCTGACGAAACCTGCTTCCTTGTGTAAGCTTTATTGGTAGGTTCCTTGCCACCGCATTCTGGGCCAAAGTGAGGATCGGCTGGAGCGGTGTCGTGGGAATTCCTGCCATGTCAAATCCATAAGTCATAGACAGGAAGCACGCATTTATGTAGCATAGATTGCGTGGATTGTGTAGTCGGACACTGCACTGCCAGGGTCCCCTTGAGGTGGTTCGAATGTAGCTGCATTGGCCATGGTGTTGGCGCGGTCTGTTTGAAAAAGCATTTGATAGTTCCATCCTGTTTAGAGCGAGGCACTGACACACCAGCCTGTGGCACTGGATGGGATCCCGACGATGTTGCAGTGCCTGCATTCAAGTCCGTATTGGAGGAGACTGATTTGGTTGTCGCTCCCTGTAGCATCTTCTGAATGGGCGCAGTGTAGGTCTTGTACTGCGGATTTGCCTTGTCCTGTTTGGGAGCTGCGGCCTGGATGTAGGCGTAGTCATCCTCCGAGAAGTTTACATGTCTAAGATGTCTTACTGCTGCTATCTGAAAGAAGCTGGGGCATTGACGAGAGTGCGCTTTGGTATTCCACAATACTGGCACGGTCTTTGAAAGTTGCCGACAAACTGCCAGCAGTCTGCCAGGCTTTGAGATGTCCTGTGCGCCAGTGCGTTTTGATATGTCCAGCTGACGTGATTCTTTGTCCACACAATACACAGCGACAGGTCTGCGCTCGTATGATCTCGGCATGCTCGCTCAAGCTATGATTTGGCGCATGTAGAACCGCATGATTTTGAAGCGCAAAGGGCTTGTCCTGCTCCCAGTCAGCTACAGGAGGAGCTGGAACGTAAAGCTTTTGGTCCTGCTCGATTTTCCGTAGCAAGGATTCAGCATTCCCACCCGCTGCCACCTCCGATTTCATTGCCGAGCACATACCCTGTGTGAGGTGTTTGCGCAGTGCCTGCCAGTCACCAAATCTGTGTTTGCAGTATCTGCAAGTTGGAGCGCCATATAAGTGCTTTGATCTATCAAAGTCCACTCTGGCCTGTAGCTCCACCTCTGGATGCCGCTGGTGGATGTGCTGTTGTAGGCCCGACTGCGTGCCGTAGTAGACACCACAAACCGGACATGGAAACTCACACTTAAGGGCAACATTCTTCAGAAGATAGGAATCAGGCCTACTTTTAGCTACTTCACAGACCCTGTCGTAGCGAGTCTGAATAAGTGCTTCAGCCCGCCTAAGTTCCAAGCTGAGAAGCTCCTGAGACCTGGCTGAATCCAGCTGCAGCGCCAGTACCTGCGAGCTCATTAGCTTGCGAAGATCATCATAAATGTCAACACCCGCCTGCTGTAGGACCTGCTCAGTCGATATGCCTTTCTCGTAAACTCTGCAAACCTTGCGCATGTGCCGGGCAACCCCACTGGAGAGAACTTTGACAACTTCCGCAGTGCAGCCTACGCTCACAACGCCATAGAGCATACATGGAAGAATGCATGTCTTGTAGAGCTGGATACGACGCTTCTGGCTTAGGGCTCCATTTGTGCGCAAGGGAGTTTTGAGCTGGCCAAATGCAAGCTGAGCTTGCTGAACACGATGCTGTGCAGCTTGCACTTCGAACTTGCCATAACTCAACTTCATGCCCAAGAATTCAAGAGTGTCATTCACAGGAATGTACAGCGCGTTATCGCCATAGGGCACCATGAGACACTTGTGCCCATTCCACTGCTTCGTGATTTGCTTCAAAAGCCGAAGGTGTGCAGAGCCCTTGAGCGCAATGACGACCCTGGATTTGGCGCTATTCACCGTCATTCCCAGCTGAGTAATCACTTGTATCAAGAGTCCCAGCTCTTGCCGCGCCTTGTGCAAGTCATTGGGGCCATGGATCTGCCAGAAACCATGTTTGTCATCGGCGTAAACCGACATGTGACGCTGGGGCCAACCTTGTCCAAGTCTCTGGGATAATCTCTTGCACATTCTACATGTCCATGCGGCATAAATCATAGGGGCAACACTGCACCCCTGGCGAAGACCCCTGCCCATTTGTGCAGTCTGAGTTTGTCCCTTGTGAACCACATAGAGCTTAGTATTGATGTGTATCTGAAGCAGCATTCCCGCCAAATTGGAAGGCATCCCAGCGTCAGTGCGGGCAAGGTACATTTCCTCATGCGTACTGGAATCAAAAGCCTTGGACAGGTCTAGGCTAACCATTATGCCTCCAAGCAGCAAGGTGACAGGCTGGTGTGCCAGGCGCGAGGTGAGGTCCCCCGTGCAGCTTGCAAGCATCTCACGTACTTTGTGACAGTGCTGGCTTGCACGTAGCAGGGGATCAGCCGTTGATGCCTGAGCTCGATAGGCATATTGAGGGATGTCCTGCAGGGCTGCTTGAATATAGGGATTGGCTCGCTTCTTCCCATTAGCCCAATCGTGTGTAGGTTGGCCGGGGTAGAGGTACTCTTCCTGGCTTGGGAAGCCATGCCAATTGTACACTGGACCACTCGGTAGGGATTGTCGGGTTCCAGTGGCAAATCGTGTTTTGAGCCACTCGCTGTAGGGCTGGGGCAACTGTAGCACTAAGCTGCTTCCTCGCCATTGGGAACAGCCTTGTGACTCTGTAGTTGCCGAAAAGCTGAGATCCATTCCTGCTCTGTGAACCATTCAGGAGGCAGCGGTTCACACTCCTGCTCAGGATTTTGAAGCTGTCCATTGGAATCCCTTAGACAGATCTTCTGCCCCCGTGATTTGGGAGCAATCATTCGTATGTACTTGTAGTAATCACGCGTTTGATGCTGGCTGTCCGCTGACTCTGCATGAGCCAGCACACTCAGGATCTGATCTCGTTTGCGTTGCCTGGAGATACGTTGCACTTCACGCCTTGCCCTACACTTAAGAAGCGCGAGCTGCCAGGCACCAAAAATCCTACCCACCTGCCCTCTAGCAAACCGAAATCTAGCACGGGAAAATCTGACGCCAAATTTCCAGGACCTCCGCATCAACATTTCGTAGGGTCGGCTTACTGGGCTTAGAGGAGGGCACGTTATGATACTGCCGCAGAGAGGCTTGAAGATCCCCAAGTGAAGGGTGCTGCGCCTGCAGTACCATATCCAGGAGAGGTGCCGCAGTGCTCCCGCGGCTTTGCTTCCGAGGCTGTTGCTTCCAGGGCTGCCAATCGGCTTTGATACTTGCACAAAGCACTTCATGCCCAGAGGTGCGCCATCCTGCAATGGGAGCCTTGGTAACACAACACTCCTTGGCCTTTTGGTCTGCCTGGTGTTGTCTGACGAAGACGTAGTCAATCTGGGAGCTGCCAGAAGGATGGCGATAGGTGTACTGCTTTTTACCCCAGGTGTTGAGAGCAGTCTGGCGATGTCTGGCCAGGACTTCCAGCACATCGCTCCGCTCCTGCCGTAGGTCATGCACCTGGGAGCCAGCATGTACGCCTTGTCCAACCACTGTGGCATGCGGCTGCATCACCATATTGAAGTCCCCCATTAAGACAATGGCCGATCTGAAAGGCAGCGCAGAGAGGGCGGTATCCAGCTTGGACCAGACGCCCCGCCTGTTTTGCATCAACAGTTGTTTTTGTTCATCACTGTGCTGGGACAGCGAGTGTTGATACAAGTTGAAGATGTCGTATTGCTGCTTGCCAATACAGCCACGCCAGTGAAGAAGTCTGCCTGGCACAATCTCATTCCAGCTGTGGTGATCATCCACCAGCAAGCTTTTGCGGATTCCAAGCATGACTCCACCATGTTTGGGCCTGGGGGCGGCGCTGTGCAAGATGTACCAGTCGCCAGATGTCCATTCTCCTTGTGCTGACCAGTGTGTCTCCTGCAGGGTAAAGAAGCCCACCTCTGGCTTTGTCCGTAGCCAGACTTGCAATTCAAGAAAAAGTTCAGTGGAAAGACCTGAGCAGTTCCAGGTGAGGCAAGAAAGTCGGGCCGGCTCATTGTGCTTTCTCTGCGTTGGCAGATAAGGTATCTCAGGCTGCCAAAAGCGAATGCGCTTGCCCTTGTAGACCGTGGACCCTTCCAAGGCTGCGCGTTTCAGCGCTCGCTTGTAGGACCTTTTGCAAACTCCCCATGCCGTATGTCGCTTGCCGGGCTCAGTTGCCTCATCGTTCACCCCAGGCTTCAGTGGTGGCTGAGGCTCCTCCCACAACCCTCGTGCCCACCAGCTTTTGGGCGAATGTCCCTTTCCATATTCTTGCTGGCGTCCGGACTTGGGACCGGAATGAGCCAGGCTGATTTTGCATCCCTTCAACAGCTCAAGGTGACGCCTTTACGTGAAAAATTTCAGGGGTTTTCGCACGGAAGTATGTAATGATCCAGATGGCAGCTTCGTGCTAAGCATGCGCGCGGCTACAAGAAGCCAGCGCCGCAGGTGCAGACTTCCCCAGGAAGCCAAGCTGTGTTTCCTTCCGTTTTGGGGCCTGGTTTACAAGACCTTTAGGTTCGAAGATGGTATCTCCAGGCTTGATTAAGATCCTCCCCCGTAGCCTGAGCCGCTCATGGCACTTTACGACTACGACTACGGCTACTGCTACTACTACTACTACTTCTGCTACTACTACTACTACTACTACTACTACGACTACTACTACGACGACGACGACGACGACGGCTACTACTACCACTACCACCACCACCACCGCCGCCACCACCACCACCACGACCACCACCACCACCACCACCACCACCACCACCACCACACAACTATGACTACTACCACTACTGCGACGAGGACTACTACTACGACTACTACTGCTACTACCACCACCGCCGTATGCCCTCAACGCCACACCCGATCTCCGGCGGCCACAAAGAACAAAGAACCCACAGCCCGCCTCTGCACCGGCTCAAGCGACCTCAGGAACGAGTTCACTGATCATTCATTCGCAATGGTGTGTGCGTGGGTGTGTGTGTGTGTGCCCTTTTGGCTTCCGTTTTTCCCAGTATAGTAGAACCTACCCCGGTTCAAAAATGTCATTCCCTTCTAGCCTCCTATAATAAGTATGATTATACGTATAGCTCTAGGCTCTGAAATGCTCAAAAGGTGCAGGGCCCAGGCCTTGGGGCATGAGTAAACGGTTTAAGAGTTTGGGGTTTAGGGCTTAGGGTTTAGGGTTTTAGGGTTTTAGGGTTCAGGGTTTAGGTTTTTACGGTTCAGGGGTTTGGGTTTAGGGGTTTAGTGCTTTGAGCAAGGTTCATGACGACATGAACATGTCAGGGTTTGGTGCAGTCTTGTTAGCAATGACTTCAGCTGGGCCAGGCTTGGGGACCGCTTTTTTTTGTTTGGAATACATGGCTTCATATGAAACACGGGGCAATGCGGCGGGAAGTGCGGATGAAGATGACGGCAAGGAGGATGCTGGAGATGGGCTTAGGTGTAGGGTTCAGGGATGGTGTCGACCATGATCGTGTTAATGATGGTAACGACGACAGTTACGATGAAGATACCACGACGACTGCCATGATGTCAATCAAAATGCTGATGAAGGCAACAAATGAAAACTCAGGTCAAGATGAGAATCTGGGATAACAACATCCACAATCCAGGAAGCCCAACAAACGCAACATGCAACCACAAGCAGCAGTGTGTAAAAAGTGGAGCCGAGAAAAGCCTAGTCAGATTGACCAACATCAAACACGAACGGTTCAATGTGACCAAGAACAAACAAATTGCATAAACTATGATAACCACAGGCGGTAGCAGTGCTACTAGTCGTGAGCACACATGATGGCTGTGACCGAACATGTTGATACATGGAAACCCTACAAGTTGGAACGACCTGATGCAATAATATATGGGCCTCTATAGTAAGATGGGATTGTGGGGGGTCCCTATACCCTAAACCATAAGATTCGGGATGGCAACCGGGAAATTGTTATAAGCCACTCGAACTTCAAAACTGTTGCGGTGGCGAGAACAACGGAAGCGAGCTATGAGCAGCAAGCATACATGCACCAGCACCAGGATTGCCAAATTCAGCACAAGCCAAACCATGCAAGTTAGCCGAACAAACGCGAATGAGTAAAGAACGCCGCATACCTTGACCATACTACATCACATAAGTTTCATGTTATGTTGTGCCATGATATGGTATATTACACTGTGTTGTATTATAGTCTGCTAGGCTGTGCTAGATTATCTGAATACTACTGTAGTTTACAAAGATCCGGCTCAGTTCCTGGCTGCATTTGGATGCTCCTGCTCCGGGCCAGGTGACATGAGAGCATGTGGGTACATGTGGGTAGTTCTCTAAATTAGGGTCCCTTGTCCAGCCTCCAAAAATACTACGGCACCTTGACAAAAAGGACCCTAAAAGGGGTCTATTTTGGAGAAGTACCCATCTGGTTTACACTTCGGAGTCTGGCGACCAGAAGAAAGGGGTATGTGGTTTAGGTTCGCATAACTGCACCATAGTCGCCCCCCTTCAACGAAAGCTCTGTCTTTCGTGTGCTATCAGCTTTGAGACCCCCTGACCCGTCAGACCACATGTGCCCAACCTCCACAGACACTGCATCTAAAGAACAAAGTCGCACCTGGTTGCCTTCGACGTTGCTTGTACCGACCACCGTGGCTTGCAATACCACCGGCTCCTTGGCTGGCAATGAGGGCTCTCAGGATGCAAGTTTCGGGTTTAGGGTTCGGGTTTAGGGCTTAGGGTGTAGGCTTTAGGGAACAGTAGCTTGCATGAGGACAGCATTGCGTGAAGAAAACAGGCATCTCGCCGATTGGCGCAGGCACTTATGCAATACCTACAAAACTTCCGTGTCAAAGACTCTGCAAAGTCACCCACAAAGGCACCCAATTCTTTCATCACTCTGTCGACAAGCCAAGAGAGTGTTGTAGGGGCCTTATACCCCAAACCCTATTCTTAAGGCCCTTATATTAGTTCTCAAAGGAGGCCCAAGGGCTGCAGCCACCACAACACCACCCATCTGCTGCTGTGGAGGAGGCAGGCCGTCCTCCGGGCTTGGTAGGCACCGTTTCAACGAACCCTTGTAGGAGCCCTTACAGGACCCTAAACCCTAATGGAACCCTTAAACGAACCCGTATAAGAATTCTTGAGGAAAAGGCATAGGACCCTTAGCTGCAGCGCAGGATTCTGTACTCATTCAGGAGGAGGAGGACTAGGATTAGGATTACAATTAGGATTAGGATTAGGATGAAGCCCGGCTCCTTTTTCCAGCCTCGCTGCCAAAGCATTGATATTCCCAGACCTCAGCCCAACACCCTTCAGATTTCGGTGGGGAGCATTGGGATACGTAGTAAGATTCCTGCTGCTGGTAATGCTAGCGTTCTTGCTGAAGTACTTTGTTCGCATGACTACTACGGTCATCAAGTCGAATATTGGGGTTGAGGGCTGCGGCTTTGGTTGAGGGCTTCGGGTTTGAGTACTATAACATACTGAAATACACTATAGAACACTATAGTCTACAGTAGTATACTATAACCTAGTATAGTGTACTGTAGGAAAGCATAACATACTATACCATACAACAGTCTGCTATAGCATACATACCATTTTGGTGTCTTGGGATCTCGAGATTCGGGTAGGAGGTGTTCGGACCAAAGCTTCGCCTTGAGAGTTGAACTGTGGGTCAGGGTTTAGGAGTTTAGGATTTAGGCATTGAGGGTTTAGGGGTTTAGGGGATTAGGGTTTAGGGGTGTAGGGTTTCGGGGTTTGGGGTTTAGGGGTTTAGGTCTGGGGTTTAGGGCTCAAGGGTCAGGGTCTACGGGTGCAGGGCTTGAGGGTATGGAGTTGAAAGGTATCGGGTTTACGGGTATAGGGCTTAGAGGGTGTAGGGTTCAGGGTTGAGAGTTTAGGGTTTAGGTTTCAGGCGGGCGGGAGGGTTTCGCAAAGAGAGAGAAGCCAAGCTTGAGGCCAAGCCCCAATGATAGCTTACCAGAGGTAACGTTTCATATTATATGTCTACTATAGTATGTTACAGCACGTTTTCGTACATTTCCATTACCTGTAGTAGTAGTGTAGACGATACCATCAAGATTACTCGAAGAACTTCCACTCCGGTGCATGAACCTAGACGTTCGGCTCTGAGGCAACCGCCGTTGTTCAGCTCCACTTCGCCGCCGGCGATGTCTAGTTTGGTCAGCATACTTCCGATGTAGTCAAGATAGATCTCCTTCGGTTGAGCTCAACATTCTTACTAAAAGGGCTTAGGGTTTAG